GGAGCCCCCAGAGGAAGAACACGACAATAAGTGTGCAACGGCAGAAGCCGTTTAGTGTAATAGGTACAACGTATTTAGGACAACAAACCGTGTAACGCGATGTCCCTTGAGCCAATCAGGTCCTCTTCTGAAAAAGTCGCTGGTAGGATTGCCTACTGACTCAGTGACTGGATGTAGCTAGAAATTCAAATTATTGATTGATTGTCTAGCACGATGCGTGAGCTCGCGTGTAGGCCGATCGATAGCCTCTTGAGGGACGCGGCTACTTCCTGCCTCTTTGCTAGCCGTTGGGTCTCTCCAAACAAGAAGGACATTAGCAGCAAAGACATGGACGCATTAGCAGAACACTTACGGCTACACGGTTCTTATCGCCAATTTCAAATTATTTTAACATCGCAAAGCTTTATTTTTATTTGCCTGACAAGGACATCTGCCCAGAAATGTGAGTGTAGGCAAGCAGGCAGGCAGTGTTGGGCCTATTTTTGCAGGGCACTGCAGAAAAAAAGCCAAAAGCACACAGGAAGTGTTCAGGCATTTGTCCTGCCTTGGACAAGCCGTGTTAAACAAGTATTCAAAAAACAGACGATGGAAGGGTCATGTGCGTGACACGATAACGCATGCTTAGCATGCAAAGGCATCCGGATGCGTCTTTTCGTGGGTGCGAACGGTTGCGTGTATTGCATTGTTGTAGGTAGCTGTGAGGCCCTTGTGTTCGTCAAATCGCGCAAAAACTGACTATTCTGTAAAGCGTATGACAGGCTATTACCTGGGAAAAATGTTCTTTGTATGGAAAAACGTACATACTCGAGGTGGACGGAAGCAACAAAAAAGGAATAAACTGAATTTTGAAGTCCGGGAGAGAGAGAGCTAGCAGGTCTAGCTATGGCCTTGCTGCTGATACACACACAAACGTATAACCAAATGTAGGATTATACAGATAGCTCTATGAGTCTACGATGTAGTCCATGCAAGCACTAAAAGTTTGAAAACTTACAACAACGAGAGCTGACAAGCAACCAATGAGAAAGAGTGAGAGAGGAGAGGGACTGGGGTATATGCATGTTCGCACTGGGAGGGGCCAAGATTTATAGTCGATTACTTGCCTTGCGCAAAATGCCGGAATTCGCGAATGATTGAGACATACTCGCAAACCGGTATTAGCGCATGTACGATGACGTTTTAATCTTAATCAAATTTAAAATGTAGTGGAAATAAAAAAACGTACGGTAAGCTTCTTTGGAAATACTAATCTTTTTTACGAAAACAGCCCCATTTCCGAAGACGAAGAAAATCACTATGACTGTAACCAATAAAAATAAAGCGAATTGTCAAGTGAAACCGCAAACATACCATTTTTGATAGATTAAAATGACTTTTTCGTCGGATTTCTTCATACGTATTGCTCTAACTGGCCTACAATAAGTTCCATACGATCCAGGAAATTTACGCGCATACTATATGATTTTCAGTATTTCAAGCCTTTTACCGTAGATTGTCGAGTATATTCTACGTCTTTATCAAAAAGTTTAAAATAATCTAGTACTTAAACGAACTTACCAAGAACTGAACTTCTGGACATTTATACGTATGAAAATGGCCGGTAAGGTTTTATTTGTAGCCTCGAACAACCAGGAAAACGCATTGCCGGGTTAAATGAACATCCAAACCGAACGCTGATGGAAATATGCCTAAGATCATTTTATCGACTATTTAAGCTATCTTTACCTCACTAAGGAGCGCTTTAATTAGATCTTCGGCCAACGAATACCTGCATGAGTTACCTTTT